CCCCCGCCATGCCGCGCCGCGCCGCCGCCTTGCCCGTACCTCGATCTGGAGCCGTCGCCGTCGGACTCGGAGGACTCGGAGAGCCTGGGCGGCGCATCTCTGGGTGGCCTGGAGCCCTGGTGGTTCGCCGACTTCCCCTACCCGTATGCCGAGCGCCTGGGCCCGCCGCCCGGCCGCTACTGGTCGGTCGACAAGCTCGGTGGCTGGCGCGCCGGCAGCTGGGACTATCTGCCCCCGCGCAGCGGCCCGGCCGCCTGGCATTGCCGCCACTGCGCCAGCCTGGAGCTGCTGCCGCCACCGCGCCATCTCAGCTGCTCACACGACGGCCTGGACGGCGGCTGGTGGGCGCCGCCGCCGCCACCCTGGGCCGCAGGGCCGCCTCCCCGGCGCCGGGCCCGCTGCGGGTGTCCAAGGCCGCATCCGCACCGTCCACGGGCCTCGCACCGTGCGCCCGCCGCCGCCCCCCCGCACCACCACCGGCACCGGCACCGGCGCGCCGCCGCGGGCTGGGACTTCCCACCACCCGCCCCCACCTCGCGGTCGCTGGAGGACCTCAGCTCGTGTCCCCGCGTCGCCCCCGCGCGCCGGCTCACCGGGCCCTCGCGCCACGCGCGCCGCTGCCCACATGCCGCGCACTGGGGGCCGCCGCTGCCCACCGGGTCCCACCGGAGACACCGGGGCGGGGAGCTGGGCACCCGCAGGGGCTCGGCGCACTTCTCCAGCCTGGAGTCCGAAGTATGACGGGGCCCGGGACCCCCTGCGCCCCCTCGGTCAGCGCAGGCCACGGCCCGAGGGGGCGCGCGTAGTGGACCGGACCCGCCGGGGTTGGCACCGAAGAAGACACAGAACTGGCCGGACCCCGCCTGGAGCAGCGTCCTGAGTGAGGCCCTTCCTCGGGGGAAACCTTCGCCAGCCGGAGGGGACTTGGTCCCCGAAACTTACCCAGTAGAGGGCGTGGGGGCGGGGGTCTCGGAGCCCACCGGACTTTTTTTAAACCCGACAAGGGCTTTTTAACGTCGCCAGATGGGGCGGGAGGTGGGGAGGGTCACGCCACGCCCGCGCCCCACCCCCACGCCCGGGGCCGTGGTCCCCACATCACTGTGCAGCTCCCCGGCCCCAGTCACGCCTCCGGGGAAGCCCGTTTTTAACCTTTCATCCATCGGGACTCAAAACTGTGACACGCGTTCGCCAAACTGTGACCCCAGACCTCGGCCCCGCCACACGGAAGCCCCTGACCCCAGACTGTGACTTCCGACCCCTAAAATGGTCATCCGACCCCAGACTGTGACCCTGGACCCCAAACTGTGACCCGACCCCCAGACTGTGCCCTGACCAGACCGTGACATCCCTTCCCCTCCTCCACCCTCAATCGCTAGCCCCTACTTGGACCTAGGACACGCCCCCAACAGAAGCCCCACCTTCTCCGCTGTGACCCAGCCTCCCTCTGGTCCAGACTCCTGGGCCTGGCCCAGGTCTTTCCTCCCCAACAGCTCCTGGTTCCCCAACCACATTCTCCCCAGATTCTTCAGTGATGACCCTCCAGGCCCCCAAAAGTCTCCTCTTCCTGGGTCCCCAGCCGGGTCTGGGACTGGGTGGTGGAGGGCGGGGTCTGGGCATCCACACTTCACCACCAACCTCCCTTCCCACCCTCCTGTTCCACATTGCAGTGTTTGGAATAAACGACGTTTTTAATGCCGCCTCTGAGCGTGAGCTCCGTTTCTACCAGCCACAGGTTTTGTGAAGGAAAAAGCACCGGCGGAAGTCCCACAGAGGGAAAGGGCAGAAGAGAGGGGCTGAACCAAGAAAGCGACAGATCTAGAGGGGCCACTAGAAGAGAGGGACAGAGAGAGAGAGAGAGTATAGAGTGTATAGGGACCCAGAGAGAGGTAGGACAGAGGCCCAAAAAGAGACAGAGACGATGGGGGGATCCAGAGAGGGAACAGGGACCCAAAAAAGAGAAGTTTACTGAGACTCAGCGTGGGGGACTGGGATCCAGAAAAGGGCGGCAGAGAGACCCAGACAGGGAGACAAGAGACCCAGAGAAGAGGGGAACAGAAGACCCAAAAAAAGAGGCTGATAGACTCAGGGGGGAATGGAATCGAGAGAGAGGGAGGGGGACAGAGACCCCGGGAGAAGGGGTACACAGACCCAGAGAAAGAGGGAACAAAGATACAAAGATGTTGATAGAGATTCAGAGAGAGGGGGGACAGAGACTCAGAGAGGGAAACAGACCCAGAGAGTCGGGGCACAGGGACTCAGAGAGGGGGGACAGAGATTCAGGGGGACAGAGACCCAGAGAGAGGGGAGACAGAGACTCAGAGAGGGGGGACAGGGACCCAGAGAGGAAGAATCCGAGAAGGGGGTGTTTAGGAGGGGGGGAGTGGGGGGCCAAGGAGGTTGCTGTCCTCTTTAAGTACCCCGCCCCCTGTTCCTCGCTATGCTTCTGCAGAGTAATAGAGACTGTGGGTACAAAATGTTTTCAGATCAAATCGTGGGGCTACAGGCGGCAAGGATTTGCTAAAATTCTCAGAACCCTGCCCATGCAAGCCGGAGAGAGCGGCCCTGATGTCTCCCCAGGCTGCGCGCACGGCGAGGATTGCCATTACTCTCGCCAAAGAGAATCTATTGCTGACACTTCATTATGCCAATTAAGCCAAGCTTAATTGCGGGTGGGTAATAAAGCCAGCGGAGCTGCCTGCAGAGGGGAGGGCTTTCAGATGAAGGGCGCGCACACCCGGGTGGTGCCATAGCTAAGCGCAAGGTTGCTCCCCAAAAGGTGGGTAGTTCCAACCCACAAGTCGCCCTGCGGGAGAAAGACGTGGCAGTCGGCTTCCAGAACATTACGGCCTGGAAACGCTCTGGAGTCGTTCTACCCTGTCCTTTGGAGTCTCTCGGAAGCGGAATCTGAGTCTCGTTTGGACCTTGGCTACAGCGTGAGCGCCTGCTTAGACTAGTGACTACCCCTAGGGGATAGATTCAACCGATTAACTTAGAATATCTTGTCTACACGGAAGGATTTTGAAATAAATTAAAGCTATCATAACAGAGAAGGAGAGAAGAAAACTGGCTTTATGGGTCCTCAGGGAGGAGGAAACCAGTTTTCTTGCCAGCCAGTAAGTGCACGTATTTGCATAACATGAATAATTAATGAGGTGGAAAGAAAGCTTTGGGGATCAAAGGAGGAAGAGGGAGTTGCGGCTCAGAACTCCTCCAGGCGATGGAGAAGCCGACTGCTAATAAGACTACAATTCCCAGGAGGCCGTGCCACTGCCTACCGCCTCCGAGCGCTGCAAAGTCACTCGGGAGTTGTAGTTTCTCCAAGTCCGCCAGCTCCCGCCTGTGACGCTATCACCTTAGCGGGCCTTAGCCTTCCCCCGCTCCCTGATTGGTCAAGCTGGGAGATTTCCCGGGCAACCGCGAGGCGGGGCAATCATCCGGAAAGCATAATCCGGAAGTGACGCTCTAGCTCCGCGTCGGCAAGCCAGAGGGTTCGAAGATGGCGGCGCGCAAGGGTCGGAGGCTCACGTGTGAAAGCGAGGAACCCATGGAGGCGGATTTTGGGGGCGACGACGGGGCCAAGGGCCCGACGCAGGTCTATCTGCCTGGCCGGGGACCGCCGCTGCGCGAGGGGGAAGAGCTAGTCATGGACGAAGAAGCCTACGTGTTGTACCACCGAGCGCAGACAGGTAGGGCTGCGATCCCGGACGCCTGGGTCCTGCGGAAAGTGGCAGCTGGGATTTGGGGTCTTGAGGGAGCTGGCCCAAATGCTTTAACATGAGCTGCTACGTGGTTTTAAAAACTTGACAGCTAAGAGAGGGTCATGCTTGGTAAAGGAGCAGGTAGGTTTTCGAGAAAGAGAAAGATCCTCAACCACGTGGATTGACATGGTGACTGCAGCAATGGGCTCAGCATAGCAACGATGGGAGGATGGCGCAGGGCAGGGCAGGGCAGGGCACGGTTTGCTCCAGTGGTACAAGGGGGAGCTGTGTGTCTGAACCGAATTGTCGGCACCTGACAACAAGAGAAGGGGAGTTTTAAGTTTGTGCAGTCCGATCCAAACTTTTCTCCTCTTTCCTCCCCCAGGTGCCCCCTGCCTTAGCTTCGACATAATCCGTGACCACCTTGGAGACAACCGGACGGAGCTGCCCCTTTCCCTTTACCTGTTTGCTGGAACCCAGGCCGAGAGAGCCCAGAGCAACAGGTAAGTGAGACCTGAGGCTGCCCCAGCAACAGGAGTCTCAGGATCCAGAAAGTTAGAGCTCCCTGCTTCTGCCTCCCTTAGCCACGTTGACGTTCAGTCCCTCTGCCCCGCTTTTCTCCCAGACTGATGGTCTTACGCATGCACAATCTGCATGGGACGAAGCCCCCACCCTCTGAAGGCAGCGATGAAGATGAGGAGGAGGAAGATGAAGAGGACGAAGAAGAGAGGAAACCCCAGCTGGAGCTGGCCATGGTACCCCACTATGGTGGCATCAACAGAGTCCGGGTACAGACAATCCCCTGACCCTGCTCTCTATCCTCCGGGCTCCCTGTCCTGTGTCAGTGCCTGCCCTGTCACCTCCCCATGACCTCTCCTGCCGATTGCCGACTCACAAGGACCCTACAGGATCAAGTAGAACTGCCCTGTAGCCTGTAAAGTTTATGGGAATCAGTGGTTATGTCTTTCTCCCACAGAGAGGCTACCTCTTTCATTCCCATTGCAGTGTTTTCAACCCATAGCGACCCACCTCCAGGTTTCCGAGGCTGTAAACCAAAATAAGAGGCGACTTCTGGACTTTTCTCCATCAAAGCCACTGGTGGATTCAAACCGCCAGCAGTGTGTGGTCTTGGGGCTAACAGTGCACCTCACTACAGACGGCGTCACCAGGGCGGGCCTGTTCAGCTTATTGTTGTTGTTGTTGTTGTTGATTGCCGTTGAGTCGCGCACAACTCATAGCGACCCTGTGAACAAAAGGCCTGAAGCCTTTCTGTAACTGTCGTCATTTATCAAAGTTCGTAGTTTCTAGAGGTATGTTGTTTAGGAAGTCTGTGAGCATCCTGGGGGCCACTGTAGGCTCACCATTGGCTGCTAACCGGAAGGTCCCTTGGGAAGGGGAGGCTGTCTCCTCAATTCTCTTGGGTATAGTTCCAGTCTGATACAGGTGAGGTTGCTGTGGACAAGTTGGTATCAGCTTGACCGTGACAGTGATGTGAACAGTTCACACTCTATTGCTAAACTAAAAATTGATGGTTTGAGCACCCTCTCCGTGGTCCCCTAGAAAATGGACTTGGCGGTCAGCTTCTTTGGAGACTGTAGCTAAGAAAACCCACTGGGGCCGTTCTTCTCTGCAATTTATAGGACTGGTGTGGTCGGGGATCGACTGGACAGCAATTAAGACAGCATGGACCATTTTTAAACTACAGAGATTTTTTTTTTTTAAATTTTTATTTCATTATTTTTTTTGTGTGTACCATCAAATTTGATCTGACAGGTACAGGAGGAGATGACTTCTCCTTCTCCAGCAGAGCATCTGGTGGATTCTAACCACATACCTCTGGAAACTATGGAAATTTTTTAAAAAAATCTTCTTTCTTTTTAGATATAAGATACTAAGAATTCTAACACTTAGCCGTGTGACAGACACGAGGCTGTCCTCACATCTGCCACACAGGTAATGACGTCACAGACAGTGCTTGGGACAATCCGGGTTGTGGTATGACATGTCTCCTCCTGTGTCATTCCTCCTCATCTCCAGTAGACGGTGGAATGGTGTCTGTATTTCCTAACGGTGGTGTCTCCTGACTGGGTTGATGTGAGAGGGAAAATTTCCTAACGGTGGTGTCTCCTGACTGGGTTGATGTGAGAGGGAAATACGTCACCAGCAGGTAGGGCCGCACCTGGCCCATAGTTCTGCATGAATACAACACACAGGGACGGGACACACGAAAATCTTGCAGACTGAGGGTACTGTTTGCCAGAGGCCGCCTGGAAGTCAGTAACTGAACACAGTTTTGGGGGAGAAGTTTACAGGCAGGAGGAAACAGAAGTGTGGAGGCGGTGGGCTGAGAGTTTGGTGTGTGTACCTGGCTTCAAGGAAAGGTGAGGAGTTGGCCCGTGTGTCTGGACCAGAATGGATGATGGAGAGAGAGGTGAGGTTTCAAAGACTCAAAGGAGGCCGACTGTTCAGTTCTGGTAGGCTGTCATAAGGTTGTGGGATTTTTCATTGGAAGAAATTGGGGACCATTGGAAAGTTTAGAACTTGGAAGGGTCAGAACATGGCATGGCTGGTGTTTTGTGTGTGTTTGTTTTGTGTTTTGGGTTGGGTTTTTTTGTTGTGTTTTTTTTTTTTTTGTGAGAAAAAATTTTATTTAGAATTAGCCAGCTGGACTCAGTGTTGATGATCCCAATTTTGTTGGCATCATCCAAAGCATCATAGCCAGGAGCTAGGAGAACACAGGCCTTCTTCTCTCCATCAGGCCTGATCAAAGTGTTGACCTTGGCCACATCAGTGTCACAGAGCTTCTTTACAGCTTGTTTGATTTGGTGCTTGTTGGCCTTGACATCCACAGTGAACACAAGTGTGTTGTTATCTTCTGTCTTCTTCATGGCTGACTCAGTGGTCGGGAAATTTGATGATGGCAGAGTGGTCAAGCTTGTTTCTCCTGGGGGCGCTCTTCTGGGGGTATTTGGGCTGCCTTCGGAGTCTCAGCCTCTCAGGCTGCCAGAAGGTGGGTGACATGTGGATCTTCTGGTTTTTGTTGTTGTTGGTTTTGGTTTTGGTTTTTTTTTTGGCTGTGGATGCCCTTCAGGACGCAGCCTTGGTCTTTAATGCCTTTGCTTTGGCTTCAGTTTTGGGGGGGGGGGGCAGGGGCTTCCTTCTTCACTTTTGGCGCCATCTTCGTAGAAAAGATGACTGGTGTTTTAAAACCCACAGTGATGGCATCTGACAGCAAGGCGGCAAGGGCAGCAAGATGGAACCAGTGAGGGGGCAGGGACAGGAATTTGGGGCTCTGCCTCACTAGTGTGGGTGGCACGGCACCCTGGCTGATGTGCTGGACTCCAGGGGCTTGAGGGGGCCCTGGTGGCATTATCCATAGGAGGTTGATCTGCTTACCCCGAAGGTGGTTCAGATCTGCTGGTGGCCCTTCCCTGGAAAGGTAGACCGTCTCCTCCCATGTGATCTGCAGCCTCGAAAAACCTGGTGAAGGTCAGCAATGAGCCTGTTCTGACTCATCAGTGAGAGAAAAAGTACTAAAGGTTTGAAGTTCGAATCTACCCCGTAGTGCCACAGAAGAGAGAGTTACTACCCTGCTTCTGTGAAGCTTGTTAGCTGCTGTCTCAGTTGCTTCATGCTGCTGCCACAGACGGCACAGGTGGGTGACTTTATCAAACAGAGATTTATTCTGTGTTTCAAGCCAACTCATTGCCGTCAAGTCTGACCCAACGCATAACTGACCCCTCAGTGGGTTTTCAGAGGATGTAAATAGCATGGGAGGATGTTGTCCATATTTCTTTTCTTCAAGCTGCTTGTGGATTTGAACCGCATGCCTTTGGGTTAGCAGTGCAACCCCTTACCCACTAGACTGTCAGAACTAGGAAGTCCAGGTTCAGGGGAGGTTCTGGAGGGAAGCCCTGGTTCCTGCAGCAGCTGCAGACGTGGCATCTTTGGAGACCTCCCCGAGTCCTGGTCCTCTCCGGTGCCAGGGAACGTAGCGATTTTGACCACTGCTGATGTTCTTTCTATTTCACGGGAGAGAAGTGCTCCAGGCCACACTCTCGACACTCCTCCATCAGATCAGGGCTGCCGAGGGATTAGGGGGGTAGCGTTCCGTCCTTAATCCTCTTGCGGCTATTTGTCTTACCAGATCACGGGGATCATTACGCGGCTTCTGCGTTATACACACTTGGTTCTGGTGGGGACACAGTTCTGCCCGGGAGCGGGGCGGTCCACTCGGTTCTGACTCGTCCCCACCCTCTGTGTTCAGAGTGGGATTGCTCAGCGGGTTTTCATGACCGTGCGCCCGAAGCGGTTTGTTCTCCAGGCCTGTCCTCTGAGCAGCCTCTGGCTGGGCTAGAACCACCAACCTTGAGGCTGGTGGTAAAGTGCTTAGCTGTGCCCCCAGCCTGTGAACCACAGTTCTCTTTTTTTCTTAAAGGAAATTTAATACGTGAGCTTATTTGTTTGCCGCATATAGAAAGTTCTGTTTCTGACTGCATTCAGATTTGGAGGTAGAAGCTCTCAGACAGGACAGCCTCCGTCTCTTGGCAGGCTGCTCCTGGCGTTTTTCTTTGGCTTCCTTCATTCTCTTGGCCAAAAGCTCCTTGTTCTTCTTAGCGCGCTGTTTCTTCAGCGAAAGGGCGCTTGTGCTGCAGGACGCGTGGAGTAACAAGACGCCGGATCTTGGGCGTTTTGGTCCCCACTTTCTTGCCACCTTTGTTCAGTGGCTTCCTCAACAACATAGTGACAGACATCATCTTCCTAAGAAAAACTAAAGAGTTTGTGAATTCTGCTGCCTGTATTGGGCCCCAGGCCACAAGGCACAGTGGTAGAGTCAGTCCCGGGATCCCCGTCGCCCCTTTCTTCACAATAACCACGTTGAGAAGACTCAGGCACCCACAGTGCCACACCAGGCACATTGGCGCTCCCTCTCTCCAGTTCTCTCTGGTCTGTAACAAGAGTGTCCCTCACTAAGCAGAAAGTTAACTTGGCCGTGGGTTATTGGGTCAAGGGGAAACCGTGCTTGTCATTTCTACCACTGATCCCCGACCATGTATCACTTCCACTCACCACCAAGAAAGCAGCGACTTCCGTGGCCATTTGCTTCTCCTAAAATGTATGAAGTGTGCGTTTATCGTCTACTGAGTTTTTGGCAGCGATTGGTGGGGAAGGAGGTGTCCAGCATCACGGTGAAGCGAGAACAGTTCTTGTGATACGCTGGGCTGCACGCACCTGACAGCAGTCTTGAGGGTGGGAACGAAGAATGTTAGTATCGTGAACGTACAAAGTGGGGAGATGGGAAACACGGGCGGCCATCAGGGACCACGAGGCTAGTTTTGGTTGTCCAGGTTTTGAACAAGGCGTGCCTAGGTGCCACAGATGGCTAAGTACTTGACTCTGAACCCAAGTGGTCAGCAGTTCAAGTCCACCTGGCAGCGCCTCAGGACCTTGGCCTGGGCCCCTCCCTGAAAACCTGTGAGCAGTTCTGCACGTGGGCTTCCCAGAGCCAGAATCAAGGCAACAAGTATCTTGCCTTGAGTTCCCTGGTGGTGCAGGCAGTTGATGTTCGTGCACTTGGCTGATAGCTGCAAAGTTGGAAGTTCTGGCCTACCCAGAGCTGGCTGAGAGAAAGGCCTCAGGAACCCCACGGAGCTCAGCCCTGGTAGGGGTCATCAGCAGCCAAAGGTTTGACTTTTAAAGAGCTGGTGTGATGGGAGTCCACAGCGGAGGAGGGAGGCTCAGGCTCAGCGGTTCTGGAAAGTTCTCGGGCTGAGATGCTCTCCTGGGTGATGAACACACACAGGAGTGGAGAATTGCAGGGCTGGAGCCCGGGGACCCTTCCCCAGGTAAAAGGTCACAGAGACACCCGCCTCGGGGTGGGGTCACCAGTGCTCGTCCTGTAGGGCTTTTCCCCCGGAGCTTTGTGGGGCCCTGGCCGGGCTGTGGGGTGCTGATCCCTGTTCCTCACAGGTGACCTGGCTGGCAGAGGAGCCCGTGGCGGCCGTGTGGTCCGAGAAGGGCCAGGTGGAGGTGTACGCGCTGCGACGGCTGCTGCAGGTGGTGGACGACGAGCAGGCCCTGGCCACCTTCCTGCGGGACGAGCAGGCCCGTGTGAAGCCTGTCTTCTCCTTCTCCGGCCACATGGGCGAGGGCTTTGCCCTCGACTGGTCCCCTCGGGTGCCTGGTGAGTCCCGGGGCTGCCTGGGGTCCCAGGGTGGGGGTGAGCCAGGGCCAGGGACGAGCTAAGACTCCCTCCTCCCCCCAGGCCGCCTGCTGACTGGCGACTGTCAGAAAAACATCCACCTCTGGATGCCCCAGGACGGCGGCACCTGGCAGGTGGACCAGCGGCCGTTCGCGGGCCACACGCGATCCGTGGAGGACCTGCAGTGGTCACCCACCGAGGACACGGTGAGGGGCTGGCCCTGGGGCTGGGGTGGGTCTGAGGGGGGGCCGCCTCCCGGAGCCCCCGGTTTCTGGGTAGGATGGGGTGGGGTCCTCCATCACTAACACACACACACACCCCCACCAGGTGTTCGCCTCCTGCTCGGCCGACGCCTCCATCCGCATCTGGGACATCCGGGCGGCCCCCAGCAAGGCCTGCATGCTCACCACGGCGGCTGCCCACTGCGGGGACGTCAACGTCATCAGCTGGAGCCGCCGGGAGCCCTTCCTGCTCAGCGGCGGCGACGACGGGGCCCTCAAGATCTGGGACCTGCGGCAGTTCAAGGTGTGCCCCAGCGCCGGGGTCCTCTGGGCCCGCATTCACCCCCTGAGAGAGTCCAGCCACCTTCCGGGACAGATGAGAGAACTAACTAATTGGTGTGGCTGCCATAGGGGGCCCCTCTGAGGAGTTGACAAGGTGGGCAGGGCCACGGGGCGACTGAGACTACAGTTCCCAGCCGCCTCTGCGTGAGGAGTGGTGCCCGCTGTTACAGGCCTCGGGCACCGAGGCTTCTGGGAGTTGTAGTTTCTGGTAGTGGTTTCAGAGCCAGCAGAGAATTGGGATTCCTGTCGTGAGAGCAAAACTGAGGCACGTAATGGACAGTGGGGCAGGGGTGGTGGCCGCTGGAGCCAGGAGGTGACAGGAGCGCTGAGAGGCACCCGAGCCCCGCTGCTGGGGGGTAGGTTCCGACTGGCAGCAGCCCTGCGGGTTCCCAGGGTTGTGATCCTGATGGAAAGGGGGCCCCGTCCTCCTCCTGCGGGGGCGCAGGTGGGTTCACAGGAGCATCCAGTGCTTAGCCTGCTGCACCACCAGGCCTTCCAGAAACACTCCATATCCTGCCTCCTTTGGACAAAGCCTTGTGTCTCCCGGTGGGCCCGGGGCCGCCATGGCGGGATCTCATTTTTTTTTTTTTTTTTTTTTCCATTTCAATGGGTTTGATCCATCAGCCTCAGGAAGGAGTCAAAATCCTGCAACCCCTGCTTGCTTCAGTTTGTTTGTTTTCTGTATTTAAGCTGGAATGTAGAGAGGAGATGTCTGTGTCTGGCTAGGTTCCAGAGGAGTTAATAGAGCTGCACTCCCAAAGAAACTTCCCTTCGCAGCAGGGGCCTCTGTTGTTAGGGGTGCTGATGGGGCCCCCCCTTCATAGAGTCAGCCAGGAAAGTGCTAGAAAATTCTACAACGTTCGATGAGTCATTGGTTGGAACCACCTCAGTGGGACCTGACTTCTAGGAAGAGGCACCCCCAGGTCGAAGCTGGGCTAGGAGGAATGACCTTTCCCAGCAGCCTCTGGGGCAGGACCCTCATTTCCACCTGCGTGGTGACCTGTCCTTTGTAGCGTGACTTTGTGGGGATTTCTGGGTGGGGTCCTGCTGCCGGCACGGTCTCCCCAACTGTCTGACCTTCTCCCCGCAGGATGGCACCCCAGTGGCCACCTTCAAGCAGCACATAGCCCCCATCACCTCTGTCGAGTGGCACCCCCAGGATGGTGGTGTCTTCGCGGCCTCGGGGGCGGACAACCAGATCACACAGTGGGACCTGGCCGTGGAGCGGGACCCCGCCGCAGGCGAGGCAGAGACGGACCCCGGGCTGGCCGACCTCCCGCAGCAGCTGCTGTTCGTGCATCAGGGCGAGACGGACCTCAAGGAGCTGCACTGGCACCCGCAGTGCCCCGGCCTCCTGATCAGCACCGCGCTGTCCGGCTTCACCGTCTTCCGCACGATCAGCGTCTGAGGCCGGCTTCCCTGCGGGCCTGCAGCCGGCCTGGCCACCACAGTAGATGGCCTTGGTTGGACCCACGCTTGGTCCAATATCCCATCTCACCGAAGAATTTGGTTTGGACAATGGCACTGCAGAACCACTTGGTTCCACCCAGCAACACCCCTGTCCAGTGGGCCCACCTGTGGAGGAACGGCTGGGCTGGGTCACCCCCGGGGGGCTCCCCACTGGTTTGCTGTGACACCTGGCTCGGCCCGGACATCTCTGCCCAGCTTGCTGCTGGCTTCCCCGGGACTTGATGGCCTGACCGGTTCAGAGGTGTGTGTGTCTCACATGTTGTGACTTTGCCCTTTGCCTTCAGTGAGGGGTCACTCCTCCCTCCCTGAGGACGCTGCTGTGGGGTGCAGGGCTCCTGGGGGCAGTAAAGGACTGAATGAGAGGCTGCTTCCTCAACCCTAGGGGCAGGGGCCCCGGCTGCGGCCCCCAGGGAGGACCTGGCTCGGCCTCAGCTCCCTGCTTGCTTGTCCAGTTGTGCCTTCTCTTAATACCACTTCAGGAGCTCGCTCGGGGCGTCGGGTCCCCACTCCCCAGTGCCGCCTCTGCCTGCCGTCGAGTCAGCCCTAGTCACCAAGGCCCAGGACACTGTCCTTACTCGGCTGTCAGGAGGGGCCAGGGTTTGGAAAAGACGGTTCAGAAAGAGGTGGAGACCCCACGATTGACACTGTGACTGTAACAGTGGACCAGGTTCACATCTGTTTTATAAGGTCGCTGCGGGTGGTTGACTCAGTGGCACCACACGATAAAATAAACAACCATCTGCTTGGCGTGTATTGGTTTAAAATACTGGCTGCTATCCTGAAGGTTAGCAGTTCAAACCCACCAGCTCCTCCATGGGAGAATGAGAGGTGGTGTGCCGTTACGAAGATTTAGGCTTGGAGAGGGGCTCACAGGGCAGTTTCTGCTCGATGGGGCCGCTGTGAGCCGCAGGTGACTCCCCCGCAGTGGGCTTGAGTTTCGGGGGTTTTTCCTTTTTTAATCTTGACCCAAGCAGTTTGCCAGGGAGCCAGCTGCCAGCCCTTCTTTAACCCCTTATCTTGTCCTGACCTCTTCTGTGCCCCAACCTGCCCCTGCTCTTTCTGTGCCCTCTAATTAGGGCCCCGTCTTCCTCTGCTCCACCTGTGTCCCCCCACCTCTGTGGCTCTGTCCCCCAGCGGCTTGTCCCTGCCCCCCCACCACGTGTCTGCCACAGCTCCTTCCCGGCCTGGGCTGGAGCCCAGCACCCGCCTGGCCAGCCTCCCTGGCTCCCCCCTCTGCGGATGAGCTGGCCCCACCCCCTGTCCCCCTGCATCCCGGCCTCTGATCCGCCTTGGGCTGAGGTTGGACGCGACACACAGACCCTGGGCGCCCACAGACAGGCCTCCCTCCACCCCATCTGACGAGCCCCCGGCGGAGGGCATGGGGGTGGGCCGCCCCACCAGGTACGTGATGCACCCACGGGGGTCCTGGGCCACCCCACCCCTCCTGTCCGGCTTTTCCAGTCCTTGCAGTCCCCAGAGGAGATGCCCCT